TTCTCATTAGCTCTTTTTCACTGCTCTGGAACCTATTACAGTATTACTCTGACCTTTCACTGTCACACATGAGAAAACAGCGTTGATCTGCGATCGGGCCTGATGGAACAGTTTGTGGGTTCATCTGTTGAAGCATGTGAGAGAGAAAGGATTTCCCGAGATCGTGAGAAAGGTGAGAAAATTAGCTGAGAGGGAATATTGACTGGTTTTGCTAATGAGGGGATTTTTTTTGCAAGGCTGTTTAGGAATGTAATAGTGAATATCCATTCAACGCCAACACACACACACACACAGGTCAGATAACAGTTCCTGTAGACAAAAAAGGAGGAAAGGGCAAACCAATCTGTAAGTTACCTCTAAGTCTAGAATGGCGAGTATATACAATATATATATATACATATATATATGTGTGTGTGTGTGTGTGTGTGTGTGTGTGTCTGGGGTTACTTTTTGTACATAGAAATTGACACAAGAGGGCAGTGTTGTGCAGCGCTGGTGACTCCTGTGGGTCAAAAGTGTGTAAATGCAACAAAAACTCGGGCTAAAAATTGATAAAAACAGCTTTTAAAAACCCATTGCATATTGAAAGCATAATACATTAAATGCAATAAAAACCATAAAATACTATTTAATATGAAGTGTCTGTATAACATGTGGTTTTTAATTTTTTTTATATTAATTTGCAAGGCGTTTTGTTTGTTTTTTGGAGAGTTTGTATATAGAGGCCAGTAAGAGACTATTAACTACTCATCCTTTTAATTACACAAATGTCTCGTTAAAATGTGTACAAATTGATGAAACTGATCCGAGATCAGGTAAAAACCATAAACGCTGGTTCAATGGTTCGCCGCTGGGGGGCGATCTCAATGAACTCGCATGATTCACTGGTTCACAGAGATCGCCCCCCAGTGGCGAACCATTGAAATTTCGAAACGTTTCGAAACAGTTATGACGTAACGAATAGGGTTCGGAATCGAAAATCGATTCCGATTCCAGAATCGGATACTTAAGGCCCGTTCACACCATAAGTGCACGCTCGTCTGCCGCTTTAAATTCTCGAGCTCGTTACAGCTGGATGGATTCCGATTGGCTGTCAATGTTTTTATTGTTCATCAGCTGGAAAAAAATCGTTCTGAAAGTGATTCCAACTATATCGTTTTTCTGTGCCTTTATCGTTATAGTTGTGGTGTGGACTCTGCTACTCTTTAATATTGAAAACGATTTTTAGAACTATATCTTTATCGCTATCTTTATAGTTATCGTCCTTGGTGTGAACGGGCCTTTAAGGTCAGGAATCGGATACTTGTCAAATTAAAATTTCGATTCCGCATATCGATTCTTGTCACGAATCCGGTTCATGGACTTCCGTCCAATTACCACCAGAGGCAGAGGTCGCTCTTCCATTTTAGTGACTCTCTCACTACACAGACTTTCACGTCACCCCGGACTACATTTCCCAGCAGCCATTTCACTAATCACAAGTTCACCTGAAACCAATCACACTATATAACACCGACTCAGATCCTGTTCAAACTGTCGAGTATTGTTTAAGCATTTATGCTGTTTAGCGTAGCTACTTTACGGAGCCAGATCCCTGTCCTTGTTTAAGTTTCTAGTTCTAGTTTCCTTAGTCTAGTCCAGAGGTAGGCAAGTTCGGTCCTAGAGAGCCGCAGTCCTGCAGAGTTCAGCTCCAACCCTAATCAAACACACCTGAACAAGCTAATCAATGTCTTTAGGATTACTAAGGCTATACGCAGGTGAGTTTTTTTTTCAGGGTTGGAGCTGAACTCTGCAGGACTGCGGCTCTCTAGGACCGAATTTGCCTACCCCTGGTCTAGTCAAAGTCTTGCCTTGCCTGTTTTCTGATCTTCTGCCTGTGTATCTTGGATTAACCATTTGCCTTGCTGTTTCGGACTGTGTTTGCACCTCGCCTGGACTATTGCTCATTTTATTGGATTACCCCTCTTGTCAAGCCCATTGGATTATGTTCGCTGTTGATCGACCTACGCCTGTTTATCGGATTACTCTTGTGTCTTGCCCTCAATATACCTGTTGCCATTGTCTGACTCTCGCCTGTTTCTGACCATTCTAATGAATAAAGCTTTGCAAATGGATCCGCATGTCTCTCATCCCTGTCGCCTCGTTACAATTCATATGCGCTTTTTTTTTTCTTCATCTGTGAGACTGCATCTGAAGGACTCGGACCGGCTATACAGAGCACTGTTCATCTGTCACAGCTGCCGCTGTACATTGCCCTATTTTTTTTATTATTATTATTATTTTATTCTTTTTTTTACAGTTTTATTTTTATGCTTAACTGCCTAAAAAATCTGGGTTGCAAACCTGTCTACATATGATCACCATGGTCAAGAGAATAAACTATATAAAATCGCACCTTTGTAAGATATCAGTAAGCATTTGAACTGCTACGCGTGTGTGTGTTTTGTAGTTTTTCATATGTATCATTACATTATTCAAGTAAGCTCCAAGCCAATACCTGCATTCAAAGTTGTAATCCAGCAATTAAGGATGCAGCAAACCAGTGTAATTTAGGCTGCGTTTTTTATGCCCTTCACTCGCAAATTTCCCTCCGTCTTGTTTACTCGGATGTACGTCATTGATTATGTTGCATGAGTGCCCGCTACTGGTGGAACCCTTCGAATGGGCTGAATCGGAAGGTCCTAAGACCTTGATCACTTAGAATCCGCTATGGAGTTGGTTTATTGTTTACATGTTTCCCTTTACGAATTTGTTTGGTGCAGCATTCTATATGTACATAGATGTGCTTGGGCTGTTATAAATGTAAAAAAATAATAATTTATATATTATAGAGTTGTTTGGGGTGGGGATAAATTAAACGTGATCTGCGATGATGTCATAGTCGTGTTGCATTGTGGTCTACAGAGAGGCCTGAAGTGTGCATATGAAGCAGACTCGCTCCCTCTGTCAAAATCGAGGGGTCGAGGTTTTGTCCATACAAACTTCCCTCGTCCACAACGCACTTCAAAATGGCAGTGGGGATTCCCACGAGGGGAAAACCGCAATCTATGATGACATCATAATCGTGTTGCATTGTGGTCTATGGAGCGGCCTGACGTGTGCATATGAAGCAGACTCGCTCCCTCTGTCAAAATCGAGGGGTCCATGTATGTCCATGTAAACTTCCCTCGTCCTCTTGACGAAGTGGAACACACTTCAAAATGGTGGCTGGGATTCCCCCGAGGGTAAGTGCTTTGGGAAGTTCGCGAGTGCGTGTCTAAAAGTGAACTAGAAGATTTCCACAGTCTGCAACAAAACCCCGGATCGTGACCAAATCAGTGGTCATTGCGGTCGCCGAAGCTCATTAAGTATGAGCAGGTCAGCAACGTGATCCAAACCTGTCTCAAGCTATCATTTTCAAACTTGATTGATATTAGGCTCATTTGAGATTAGCAAAATCTGCACAGAACCGATCACCGGTGATCACCGCGAGATGCATGCCGGTTAGAAAAGTGTCAGAGTTACGTGCGACTTCTTGTTGAAGATTAGCAGATAGGCTGTCGATTCATTAAATGATAAGCCGTTTCCTCTAAAAAGCTGTTTATTCATCGTAGTGAAGCCTTTTCTCCATTGACATCCATTTAAAAAAACGGCCTCTGGTATCCTTTCCCACGTACTGTCAGACCGGAAGCATTAGCTTTAGCCGGTACACTTTTTCGGCTAATGTTTGCAGGCTTGCCTTCTAGTGGCTTTGGTGTCGTCATCCAGTCGTTTCCCATCATGCTTTTGATCAGCGCAGTCGGTGGAGAGCAACTGTGCTCGACTGCGCAATCCGACACAGCCGCCTCGCCGTCGCGAGAGTTTTTTGGCACACGTCAACATGACATCAGAGCAAGTCGTACTTAACTCGGACACTTTTCTAACCGGCATGCATCTCGCGGTGATCACAGGTGATCGGTTCTGCGCAGATTTTGCTTATCTCAAACAAGCCTATTGTATTTTCGTTGATGGTCGGGAACGCCTCTTCACTGAATATTTTGTAGTGTGTGCACCTTGTTAGCGTTGTGTTGTGTAGTATGCGCACAGCTATGACAAGACGACGACAGATGAGAACAAATCTTGTTGCGTAGTGTGAGCTACACAGTGATTCGGCTAGTCTTTCAATCATGTAGTGTGAGCTTGCCATACCTGGCCATGGTCTTGGCTAAGCCCTGAAACATTCCCACCGTCTCCTCTATTATGACGTAAAACATAAAAACAAAAATGAGCAATTCTGGCTCCACCTATCCTGTCAGGATGGTCCTCTCGTCAACTGTCCTCTTGCACCGTTGCTATGCGACAGAGTGGTAATCGGGAACCCCTGGTGGCACAATTAGGAAATCCTGAGAAGACGGAGCATCCTTCATGCTCTTTGGAGGGTCCTTTGTGCACTTTGGAGGCGTGGCCTTCGAAGTCCGTGCCCTTCGAAGTGTGTGCACTTAACTTTGGGACACAGCTAATGTCTTATATTATGAAGGCCTGGCAAAAACAATGGGATGAAGGGAATAAAGGACGTCATTTATACAATATTAGACAAGAAGTAGGGAAAATGAAGTTAATAGGAAGAAATACAAGAGAACATATCATTATTTCAAGGTTAAGATTGGGGCATACTGGGTTAAATAAAACAATGCATTTATTGAAAAAACATCCATCAGGGATGTGTGATTGTGTAATGGAAGAGGAATCAGCAGAGCATGTGATTAGTCAATGTGTCAAATATGAAACACAAAGGAAAAAATAAAAGATGAATTGAAGAAATATGGAGTGAAAATATTAAATCTTAAGAATTTATTTAAAGTTGGAGATCAGATAAATAAAGTTTTGTATAATTTTATGAAATAAACTGGTTTAATGAAGAGAATGTAACTATAAGTAGTAGCTATAATCATAACTATACGTTTTTTTTTTTTTGCGTAATATCCATTTCTGGCCCACACTCCAGTACAGTAGGTGGCGGATAGGCACCTTAAACGTTGGATGCCACCCGCCATTAAGAAGAAGATAGGACATACTTTTGGCGCTTCTTTCTTGTGCTTCTCGTCGCCTCTCTTCTCAAGTGAGTACTAGTGATGGGAAGTTCGGTTCTTTTCCGCGAACCGGTTAGTGTACCGGTGATCCGAAAACCAATGCAACCGGTTCTTGACTCAAGAACGAGAACCGCTCCAGCAGTGGGCGTGTACGTTCATTATCCGGCTTGCTGCCCAGATGCTGCTCTGCTCGTGTTCATCTCTTCACAGCAGTTCAGTCAGTGTACTGTTTGAGTAAATTAATTACTCCGGGATATTGGTTTATTTCGAATCAGAGGGAGTGTCAGCCACGTTTAAAAAGTGAGTAACTTAAGTAATTTGTGGATTAATGCTAACACTTTTCAACGATTCAGTCCGATTTGGTGAACTGGTTCAACCGGTTCACTAAGAAGAACTGGTTAAATCGAACGATTCGTTCGCGAACCGGACATCACTAGTGAGTACAGTTTCCCGTGTACATAGACACTTTTAATGAACGTGTAAATTCACTGAGGGCGTGTAAATATGAGGTGTGCCCGCACTGCCATGTAATTTCGTTAGAAAAACAGTAGAAAGAGAAATGAGGTGGGTTTGATTTGAAAATTTAGAGGCGGTAACGTTAAACTAATAATTTCATCACCTGTAAATAGATTAATTACATAATTAATTTGTTTAACCAAGTGTAGCTTTAGGCATAACGCTGCATTTCTGAATAGGCTAAATGTTTCAACTTCTATTTTGTGAATATTTTGTGAATTTAAATGTGCATTCATTCATTACCTCATTAAAAAGTTTTAGCCATAAAGAAAGGAATGGTTCTTTTAAACAAATATTAATTCCTGTACTCTTGAATCATATGCCAACATTCATTGCAACATTACTGAGCTCACCTCTATGAAGGGATAACCAAGATATTTAACTTCTCTTAGTAGCAATATTGAGTAAACCAAAAATTGTAATGTTATATTTAAATATTTGTGTTTCTTTTTGTTAGTTGTTGAGTGAGATTTGACTCAAACTTGAGGTTTCGATTACGTGATTCAATATTTTCCAGTAACATCACGTACAGTTTTTCTACTGTTTTCACAGCAGCAAAATGGCAGAATCTTCTGATGATCAGAACCTCTTTAACTGTCCAATCTGTCTTCATCTTCTGAACAACCCAGTAACTACAATTTGTGGGCACAGTTTCTGTATGGACTGTCTTAATGAATTCTGGGATCGGGACAATCAGAAAGGCGTTTACAGCTGCCCCCAGTGCAGGCAGACGTTCAGCCCAAGACCAGCTCTCAGCAAAAACACTGTGCTGGCTGAAGTTGTAGAGAGAATGAAGAGAGAAGCACCAGAATCTGGAACAGACTCTCCTGTCCTGAGTTTTGCGGTGTCTGGAGACATGGAGTGTGATATCTGCACAGAGACCAAACAAAAAGCCATCAAGTCTTGTCTGACATGTTTGGCTTCTTACTGTGAATCTCACATTCAATCTCATTATGCATCTCCTGCATTAAAATGGCACAAACTGGTCAATGCCTCACCACATCTACTGGACCAGATCTGCTCCCAACATCATAAGCTACTGGAGCTGTACTGTTGCAAAGATCAGCAGCTGATATGTATGCAGTGTGCTTTGATCAACCACCAGAACCATAGTATGACTTCACCTGCAGCAGAAAGACAAAAAATACAGGTAAAGTGACTGATTTGTCTGCATAATATTTTGCATTAGTAAATAAACTGATGCAAAATTTGTCAGTCAGATATATTAAACGGAGAAAACTTGTCTCTGACGTAGATGAAAATATCGTTCTGAACTGTTATACAAATAATATTAGACTAATGATCATAATATAATATTGTCAAAAGAAGCTCAAAGTACCTTTCATTAAAATTTAAAACAAATTAGGGTTGTTTTCACAGCCAGTGTGTCACACACTCAGTTGTGAATAGTTGCCATAATAACAAACATATGAAATTATATTGAACTATTGCAAATTCAATCACAGGTACAGTTGAAAGAAAATCAGGATGGCCTACAAAAGGAAATGCATCAGCGAGAGATGAAGGTACAAGAATTTAGAGAAGCTGTGGACACTCATAAGGTAAGTTGATTGTAACCTATCATTACTAATTTTACCACTGTTACTTCACTTCTTCTTCAGATAGATGTGCGTACGCAGTTGATCTGGACTACAGCTGTATGCAGGGCAGGACTTGAGTACTAGAGGTTATGTTTGGGCCCTATACCTATACACTACACTACTTTTATGGAGTAAAACAAAATACACAAAAATTAAAATATGCTTTGAGGTTCAACATGTCTAGCCTAGTCTATGTTTAGATGCAATATTTAATAGTCATGTACAATAAACGGGATCTGTTCTCTCAGTTGAGATATAACCTGAAATAACACTGAGCAAAAAAAGCCAGAGATGTATATTAGTATTATAGAAAAAATATGTATTGTCATATCGGTGTCCTCTTATGTCAGATTCTTCAATTTAATCAATAAATTCAATTTGAATAAAAAGACATGTTGGCTATTAACAATCAAATGAAATCACTCAACAAAATCCATAGATAGATTTTGCATAAATTAAGTTTAAATATAGCATTTTAATGTAGATGTATTTAATGATTGCAAAAATGAAATAAGCTACTTTTTAAAATATGAATCTACAACCACCAGTAGGTGGCAGCAAGTGACTGTCTTAATGAGTGAGTTGAATCCTTAAATCAACTGATTTGTTTAAAATGCTAATTCATTTAACTTCACTTATAGCCTGATTGAATCATTTACTGGTTCATGTAACGCTGAGAAACAAAACACAGTTTTGCTCAGAGACGCAGCGGTTCAGGGGTCTCATTTATAAAACTCCGTAGATTTCATCCTAAAAGTGTACCTGGCACAAAATCTAGATTTAGCGTACGCACAAAAGTTTTCGGATTTATAAAACCATGCGTACGCCAGAAACTGCGCAAAAAACCCTTTATAAATCCCAGTCAGGGGAAGATTGTGCGTACGTGCATCTCCACCCCGACTCCTCCCCAAAATCACCATATATGGAGCTTACAACCTAGTTTTACTATGCATAACCTCATCTGCATATCATTTTCCATGCATATTCCCATCCACGTGACACTATGTTTAACCCTGTCAAAGATAAAAGACATGAAGGAAATATGAGATACGGACTATAAATGCCATTTGTTACATACACATTTATTTTTGTTGCTAAAATGATCCAGTATCCTTGTTATGTTTTAGAATAAATATATAAAAATATCCATAAAAACAAAACTGATTAAAATAGTTATCAGATAAATAGGCCTATTTAAGAATAGAGTTGATCTCATTCTTCTCCACTGGCCAAATAGTATTTCAATTGTTTTAAACAATTCAAATCAAATTAAATTTATGCAGTTTTGCTAATAAGATGAACATTTTTCATAATGTGGAGATTCCTTCACACGACATCAACACCTCTGTGCAGCTGCTGTTGTACACTAAGCTATTATCATTGGTCCTATTCAAACCAGACAATGGACCGTTCGACCACCGAATCCAGCAGGGTCCGCCATAATATCGAAGTAAGTGCGCATCATTGTTCTCGCTAAAATATTTCTCATAACATGAGATCTGCAGTTTAGTTTAAAGATTAATTATTGTGCAGCCATAGCACTCCTCACTGTCATTAAAACATAGCATGCCACAGAAAATTATGTTTATTGTTAATAAAATTATGTTGTTTGTAAAATGATGTAATTTCAGTGCTTATCTCCATTAATGACAGTGGAATATTTAATATAAATGTGCATATCGAAATCGATATAAAATCGTTGTTGACTTCATTACTTTTCTCACTCAAGGAAAAAGAGTGAAACTTTACGGCAAGTTTATTTTTTATAAATCACGACATGGAAAATTGCGTACGCATATTTCTATGCACATTTTGTGCGTACGCAACATTTAGAAATGAGACCCCTGGTATTTGTTCTATTTTCTTTTTGACGGAGCAAAACGGAATTTTGTGTCTGAAAGTTAATCAGTACATTCTTGTTTATTGTGCATTTGCGATCATGCATATATTCGGAAAAACAGGACTTTTGTTTGTGTGATAGGCTAGCTCCTATAAGCATGTATAAAAACAAACTCAATAAGTGGCTATTTGTATTTTTATTATTATTATTATTTTTTTATCATTTTGATGACATTTCTTCCCCACTATGTGTGATGGCAGTGAGACGGGAAAGAGTGCTTAAAACTCTTCAGATCGCATAACTTATTGGAACATTAATATAGAATTATCCTCAGTAATGAAATGAGGTGTGAACATATGAGAATTTATCATCTTTATAAATTTGCGCTTTTTTGGGCTAAAGGCTTAATGGAGGTGTTTAAAGTAGCCATGTGATCACCAATTAATCGACGCAGACGCAATTCAATACGTGTGTCCTTCTATGTGAAATAATCATAAATAGCCGTTTATGCCATTTGATTATGGCCTCGAAGGTCGCAGTTGGAAGCTGTGAGCCCCGGCTGGCACGTTTAACCCTTGCGTGCGCAGTCGAAATACGGCTAATTTCTGACTGGCATATAACTGAACAAATCACGGGTAAAGGCGGGGCCCCCTACAACGTGGGGCCCATGGGCTGCAGCCCAGTCAAGCCCAATGGTAAGTCCAGCCATGGCTGTATGATCTATAATGTAATATACTGTATAGTTATTATATTATAGTACAATAATGTACAATTATACTAAGCTAAAGTAAATTATACTGTATTATAGTTTTGTGGTAAATGTGCCGTGGAGAAAATGAATTTTCCTTGGACTATGATTGGGAAAAATAAGAAAGTCATGATACAGTCCAAATTATTTTGCACAAACAAGGTACATTCTGAAAGTTTTGCATGCTTTTTTTCATCTAACAGGGCTCTGTAGAGACAGCAGTGGAGCACAGTGAGAAGATGTTTTCTGAGCTGATCAGCTCCATGGAGAAAAGCCGAGCAGAGATAACAAAGATGTTCAGAGCTCAGGAGAAAGCAGAAGTAAGCGGAGTAGAGAAAATCATGCTTGCACTGGAGCAGGAGATCAGTGACCTGAAGAAAAGACATGATGAACTCGGGCAGCTTTCACTGATAGAGGATGACATCTATGTCATTCAGGTAACTCTCTGATCATCTATAGGAGATTTATTTATTTTTTTTTAGTTCTGACTCTCCTCCCCGATTAACTCTCTTCATATTGTATTTTTGGTTTTGAACCAATGCACATTTATGTCATCTATGTGAGTACCATCGTGAGTAGCTGGTTACAACCATTTGCATAACTAGATGTTTGTTTGTTAATAGCTCTAAATGTTTTTGTAATGAAAATAAGAAACAAGGCTTAATGTCCATTACACATGACTCAGTTTGAGTAGGGTACAAAATCATGGCAGGCTGCAATTCAAAATGTTATTGAATTCTGGTTAGTGAACCCTACGTAAAATTGACAGTAAAATAAAATTGCATAAATTGACTATTGGCATTGTAACTTTTTACCTGCTGTTCATACTAAATTCATGAGACATGGGAGTTTGCAGTATCAGGCATTGAAGTGTTATTATTCAAGTTTTAATTCTAAATATATAAACTATAATCATATTTACATTCAGTGAACATTGATTGGTTGTAATTCTTGCTTTGATCCTCTGCATTTTACATTAAAATACGTTGGATTCCTTTATTGTATGCCTGACATTTGCTTATAAAAATTTCTCAATCTTTGTTGTGCTTAATGTAATTTGTTATTTGGCAGACAGAGTTGTAATTAAATCTTGTAAGGAATTTATGGCCTTGTACTAAGACCAGGACATCACTAAAATCTACGAACAACCATAGTTACCACCGTGTGCTAACACAGTGTGAGAGGCTAATAAACTATTTAATGGGTCGTTTAAGGGCTTGGAAATAATTCAGAGCGAGAAGGTGCCTGCTTCACGGTTTTAATCATAATTTTGTTCCATTTGGATTCTGAATGACACTTGAATTCTCATTCTAACATCCACTCAAATCAGAGTTCTCTTGAACTGCACCACCATTTCAAACAGGCAAACCACTTTCAAATCAACAAAATAAACTGAGCTGTGATGTCAGGGCTTTTAGTCTGCACTAAAAGCCCTATGTGAAATGTTTTATGATTTAAATTTTTTTTAATCATCTTTTTTTCCGTCTTTAGAATTTCTCCTCTTTTTCCCGCTACCATTGTTCAGCCTTGTGCAACACATCTGTCAGCCAACGACTAAAATTTGAGGAAATAGAAAAAGTCATCAGTGAGCTCAAAAGCCAACTGGATGATCTCTGTGAACAAGACATTGTGAGGATATCAGAGAAAGGTGAGAGATCTTTTAAGGATGTTTATGTATTTAATTTTACTGTTTTTTTTTTCTGTTAAGTTTTCATAGTTCATGGTTAAAGCCAAGAAAATTTTAAAGCCAGAATTGTAATCATCATTTAGAATTTATTCCAAAACATACACAATATACAGAATGCAGGCAGATTGTAAAAATCATGGTAAACAAATTTTACTTGTTTATCTTTTTAGTTCCCACTGTCCATGTAATGGTGAACTCTGTGAACAAAAAGATGATCAAAAAGTGTAAGTCAACATTCTTTTTTTCCTCTCACATGACAAACAAAACCACTCAGATACAAGAGTATTTACTTAATGTTTTGTTTTGTTCAGATTTGCCATCTCAACCCAAGACCAGAGAAGAGTTCCTGATATGTAAGTTGCCTTGTAATTGTATACAAATGTGCGTTGGAGAGTGGAGTCCTAGGGGAATTAGAGGATGCCAATCCCGGAGAGGCTTTTATTAAACAAGAATACAAATCAAGTCAAATTATTTGAAAGATTAATCCAAGATCTGCTTTTGACAGAAACCTCATGCTAACTGAAGCGTTTAATACAGTTTTCTTTTTATCAACAGATTCCGTTGATCTGAAACTGAATGTTCCAGCCTACTCTTCACTCTCTGAAGGACAACAAATTTGTGTTAAAGTGTAAAAACGGTTACATGGGTAATGGGGACTATTCACGGGGTTTGTGTAAAGAGAAACTATCTGGACGCTGTTATTTTGAAGTACAGTGGGAAGGAGCAGGTTGCTCTATTGCATTCTCATATGACTATAGTACTTCAAGTTTTGTCTTTGGATCTAACAAAATATCTTGGAAATGTGACTTTACCAAATCTAATATTTGTGTGCAGCACAATTGGCGGCAGACTAACATTTCCTTGGTCTCCAAAATTGGAGTGTTTCTTGATCACGAAGCAGGAACGGTGTCTTTTTACAGTGTCTCTGATCAAATGACCCTCCTGCACAGAATCCAGACCACATTCGCTTCGCCCCTCTACCCTGGGTTTTCATTTCAAAATTTGGAAAATAAATCATCAGTGACAATTTGTGATCTGCCAAAGCTAAACGAGCAAATCTAATCTGTACTAACAGTGACAATTAGTGAATGGACACTAAATACAACACAAACAGTAACAGTAAACAGCAGCAAACAGTATTTTTGATGCTAATTGAGTGTCGCGTGCTATGTGTTCTCACAGAGCATTACATTTTTTAATTGTGTTAATTATATTAAACCGTAAGAAAGGGGGTGGGGGGTTGGTCATATAATACAGTGAGTTACCCAAATACCCCCACATTTTTTTTTTGATGATGATGATTTCAGTTGGTCTTTATGGAATAGCAACCACTTGTTCGTCTGTCTTTTGGTGTGATTGTGTGAAATTTGACATGTCATGGGAAGCTGTATGTGTGTTCTCCCTGTTTCAGTGACAATCAGTAAGTTATGCTAAACACTGTTTTGTTTGTTTAATTGATTCCCTTATATCGGATTTAGACTGAACTTCCAATGTGAATTGAATGTATTATGAACAATAAATTACTTTTTTGTACCAACTGAGAAGTTGTTTATAGATCTGTATTACAAAAGAACCATTAAAGATATTTAACCATTCTCAGAACTGTCTAACTTGATTTTGCAGAGTACGTTGGAATGTATTCATTTTGCAGATAGTTTTATCTCAAGTGACATGCCAATCAAGAATATTACCATACCCAGAAATTGATCATAAGAAGATGGTGAGACTTAAAGCATTAAGTTATAGACAATGGCGTTCTATTGGGGTGGCAGGTGCCATCTGACCTTTTAACCTCTACTGGCATACATGTGGGGTTTTTGGTTTCAAAAGACAGATGCCAAGACCTGTGTGTGTATAAGAGGTCAGAGGTTAAGAATGCCTGGATTACTGAGGCATCCAGCAGTAGGTGGTAGCAGATACAGTGGGTACGGAAAGTATTCAGACCCCCTTCAATTTTTCACTCTTTGTTATATTGCAGCCATTTGCTAAAATCATTTAAGTTAATTTTTTTTCCTCATTAATGTACACACAGCACCCCATATTGACAGAAAAACACAGAATCGTTGACATTTTTGCAGATTTATTAAAAAAGAAAAACTGAAATATCACATGGTCCCAAGTATTCAGACCCTTTGCTCAGTATTTAGTATAAATATATGAGTGTCACAGCAAAGGGTCTGAATACTTAGGACCATGTGATATTTCAGTTTTTCTTTTTTAATAAATCTGCAAAAATGTCAACAATTCTGTGTTTTTCTGTCAATATGGGGTGCTGTGTGTACATTAATGAGGAAAAAAAATAACTTAAATGATTTTAGCAAATGGCTGCAATATAACAAAGAGTGAAAAATGTAAGGGGGTCTGAATACTTTCCGTACCCACTGTACAATAGGAAAAGCTTGATGGAGACGTTTAAACCTGCTTTCTTCTAAACAACACATCCACCCACACTGGTTGTGGTCTGCTTCAGTCAGGGGTCGTACCAAACCTCTTTGTGCTGTCACCATTCTTATTTTAGCTCTGAACTGCTAAATGTGGACTATGAAACATCTAGGTATAAACAATAACATCATGGACTTCTGTAAAGATATTTGAAACAATGAATATTATGAAAAGCGCTATGCGGATAAAATGTAATTGACAAACTGTAAAATGCACTGACATAAAGCGAATAGGAGGGGCATTAAAAATGTTGCTGTTTTTATTGAAGCATGATAGCTTATAAATCAATCAAAATCCTGCTTTGATATAAATGTGCGTGTTAGACAAGAAGGAGCTTGTATTTTGAGGAAATCCATATCAAAAATCCATAAAATGAGGAAATCCATACCAGTCGACGCTGTCAGAAACTTTTTTTTTTTTACAAAAACCTTTAGTGTAGAACAGCTGGTTACTGGAGCAGTATCCTTAAAGGGACAACTTACCTATCTACCGCTAAAACAGGTGCATACAGTTGTACCTATTAGTACATTTGAGTAGCAATATGTATGACTAAATTTAACTTAAGATTTTAAATAAATTGATTTTTTTTAAATAAACATTTTTCATGTCCAGTATAAATTTACACAACAGGGAAGGCATTTTATGTTTTACGTTATTGGATAAGTCTTGTAAAAATGACGAAATGAAGGAAAAGTTTATGACTAATACTTGCTTGGACATACACTAATTTAATTGTTTCAAAGGTAATACATCACAATGTATTGTATCATGTCAAAACACTAGTTTTCATGACAGCAAAAAATATAAACAAAATCTGTATTTTTTTTTAAGGATTATACATCTAACATTATATACATATATACGGTACTAAAAAAATATATAATGATAATAAAATAGCATGGCAAATTGAGACGAATAGTAAAAGTGTGTGTTTGTGTACAGCTACACCTGCTGGTCAAATGAGGGAATAAATTCCCTTTATGTTGCTCACTCTCTCCTCTATCTCACACACACTATTCTGAACAAGATCATTCATTAAATCTGTCTTTTGTGAGGTTCTCTCTTTCTCAAAAGAGCCTGGGGTTGTACACATCTGCATAAATTATAATCTTTTCGTATTACACACTATTCTGAACAAGATCATTCATTAAATCTGTCTTTTGTGAGGTTCTCTCTTTCTCAAAAGAGCCTGGGGTTGTACACATCTGCACAAATTATAATCTTTTCGTATTCAAATAAGGCCCAGTGGTCGTTAAACCCATGAGGGGTTAATGAGAGAAAACTCGTTAAGGCCAGGCCAATTAAACTGCACAAGAGTCCCTGCAGAAGAGCTCTGTGTAAAGGAGGGCAATTAAAGACTAATTGGGAAGACTTTTCTTAATTAATTCCAAAAGGGCACAAGTATGTGAGACCTGTATGATGGTTACTGTTATAAAAAAAACAGACTGTGTGGGCCTAAGTAGAAAACACACGTACATCTTCATATCCTTCACCCAGTTCTCAGAGAATGGGTCACCATCAAAGAGAAACTGGAAAATAGACACATTATGAAATATTTCTGCTCAAAAATCATTAGAATTAACCACCAGGGATTTTTACTTTACAACAGCTGTCCTGGGCATGCTGTACAGACGGATATACTGTATGTGCTAAATTAAGATTTTAATAAGATGATTAGATAGGATGAGATATCGAGCGTGATCTCACAGCTAAATTCATTTCAAAACAGGTTTGTCTGACTGCAGAGGGACATTTCTTCATGACAGGTATCAGAAGCAAGTCCATAACTACTATTTTCCCTATTTGTAATTACCTGTTTGAAATCAGTATTTTTCCAATTACAAAATTTCAAAATGACTTAATATCCTGCAGTGACCTTGCATTAAATTAAAGGCATCCAAGCACAGCATGACAATCTATTTAAACTGTGTTTAAAAATTTGGTTGGTTGAAGTATTTAAAAATCTGAAACGTGAAAAGTTAAAGTTAGAAATTAAATCTTGATTGGCAACAATGATTCCACTTCCGCCGGTTTATTTTTATTTTTTATTCTACAAACCTTCTGTGCTCCCTCAAGTGGTTAGGCCACGCCCCCCGGGGGGAAATCCAACGCTCTGCATTGACTTTCTATTGCGGGAAGCTGCCTCCTTGTCATTTCTGACTTATAACAAAAAAACAGAGCAATGCCTAAAAGCTGCTATGTGACAAGGTGTACAGTAAACAAGCTAAAAACCCAGAACTATGTTTTTATAAGCTGTTGACCCCCCCCCAAAATACGAGCGTTTAAGGACACAAATAGTTGTAGATGTCGGGGTATTTCACGTTGGGCCGTTCAGTTGGATCATTTCTCAAACAAAAGGAAGGTTAGGAAAAGGGGCACTGACATAGACCAAATAAAATTTAGTTTCTTAACATATCTCCAGATTCACATAGGGTGGTGAAATAATCCTTTGACATGGTTAAAAATAATGAATGGTCTTGTCGCCGATTACGTTTCCCTCTAGTGGGCGCAGTTCTCAGAGTAATATGACACGTTGTGCTCTAGGCCTACTTTTGTGTCCTAAAGCGCGTTTTTTGGGTAGACAGCTTATAAAAACGTAGTTCTGTTTTTTATAGCTTGTTTACTGTACACCTTGTCACATAGCAGCTTTTAGGCATTGTTCTGTTTTTTTGTTATAAGTCAGAAATGACAAGGAGGCAGCTTCCCTCAGTATATATATGAAACATTTTTGTTTTCTCAGTGAACGTGCAATGGGACATATTTGTGCTGAAATTATTTATCGTAAAGACAGTGATTTACATCTTAACACTGCATTATTATGTGGTCAGGTAATAATTGTCTTCTGCGTAAAAGACTGACCGTAATACTGCATTTGAAGACACTTCTCTGTTCACACACACTATTAAGTTAATCCATATCCAGACATGCAGACACACACATACATTCTGAAGTCAAAACAGCTGCTCTATTATTGCAGGACCCACCTTCACAGATCTCTCTAAGCACAGAGAGACGCTGCGTCTGTTATCGTGAGGTTTTAATGAATGATACTGTAGTTCAGTGGATGTATAGGTGGTGAGTGTGTGTGTGTCTTTGATGCAGTGTGGAGACATTATGTCTAGCAGTTTTTAAGAACAGTAATGCTCAGGTAAAGGTTGAATCAGCGTCATCCACCTGTCCTGTGTGTGGGCTTGTCATCTATCAGCCTAAAAGAAAAGCAAATGATCCCCTGCAAAGCCCTGGACAATAATAA